CTGTTTTCAGTCGTTTTAATGGTCTTGCATTCCTATCATAATAACTTTTTTGTAAGATTTGTCTCTTCAGTAAATGTTGTTTATGGTCTTCATATCGTTTAGCTTGGACAAAATTCTCTTTTATAGGCATCAATCCATTTACTTTTCTTCCAAACATCAATTCTGAAGGTGACTTAATTTCATCTGAAATAGGAGAGTTACGATATTCCAGTAAAACTAAATATGGATCCTTGTTGTCAACTACAGCTTTTTCTAACATTCGCTTGACAGTTTGAATATGTCTTTCAACCATTCCATTAGACTGTGGGTATTTTGGACTTGAAGTTCTGGTTTCAAAATTCCATCTTCTTGCAAAATCTTTATATTTCCTGCAATTATATTGTGGACCATTATCCGAATATACTATTTTCGGAATACCATGTCTTGCAAAAATTGATTTCAATTGCTTTATCACTGCTACACTTGACAAATCTTCCAAATGTCCAATTTCAACATATTTGCTAAAATAATCTATAACTATTAGATAATCCCTTCCTTGAAAGTAAAAGAGGTCTGTTCCCAATACTTCCCATGGACCATTAGGTATTTCTTTAGATATCATTGGTTCTTTAGTATTAGCTTTTTGTAAACTTAAACATGTTTGACAATTCAGTACCAAATCTTCAATTTCTTTGGACATTCCTGGCCAATATAATATTTCTCTTGCTTTGATCTTGCATTTTACTACTCCTAAATGACCATAATGAATTCTGCTTAACATATCTTTTCGTAAACTTCTTGGTACAACACACAGGAATTTTAAATATTAATCCATTTGCTTCTGATAGTTCTTCTCTGAAGTTAAAATATGGTTTTGCCAGTTCTGGAACCATACATTTTTCATCTGGCCATCCAGTTTTAATTAATTTTCTTAAAACTTGTAGTTCTTCATCTTTTTCTGTTTCCAGTTGAAAAACTTCCATTTTACCATTAGACATTGGTATACATTCTACAACTAATCCAACATGAGCTTCTATTTCTCCTTCAAAGAAATCAGATCCTTTATCAGTGAATGATCTTGATAATGCATCCGCTATAAAAAAGTTCTTTTTCCTGGTTTATATTTTATCTCAAACTGATATGGCTGTAATCTTATACGCATTCTTTGTAGTCTTACAGGGCATTTATTTAATGGCTTTTTAAAAATTGATTCCAGTGGTTTATGATCACTTTCCACAGTAATATTTTTTCCAAATATATACTGGTGAAATTTCTCACACGCAAATACAATAGCTAAAGTTTCCTTTTCAATTTGAGCATAATTCTTCTGTGTATCTGTTAATGCCTTAGATGCATATGCCACTGGTAAATTATTCTGCAGTAAGACTGCTCCTAGTCCTTCTTGAGATGCATCTACAGATAAAACTACTGGCATGTTTATATCATAATACTGTAAAACTGGTTTATTTACCAAGACATCTTTTAGTCTTCTAAATGCTTTTTCATGTGTTGCATTCCAGTTCCAGATAACTTGTTTTTTCAACAAATCTCTTAAACATGATGTCAATTCTGATACATTAGGTATAAATCTACAAACATATGTAATCATTCCTAGGAAAGTTTCTAATTCTTTCACATTTTTTGGTGGTTTTATATCTAGAATAGCCTTAATTTTGTCTTCATCTGGTTTTAAACCATCTTTAGAAAATATATGTCCCATATATTTCACTTCATTCAGCCCAAATTTACATTTATTTAAATTAAATTTAACATTCTTTTCTCTGGCTCTGTCCAACAACTTCTTTAATCTTGAATCATGTTCTTTTTTATCTTTACCCCAAACTAATAAGTCATCTATATATATTTGAACTCCTTCCAAATCACTAAAAATTTCAGAAAAACTTCTGTGGAAAACTTCTGGTGATGAACTCAGTCCATATGGCAACCTTAAAAAAACAATATCTACCAAACGGAGTGTTAAATGTAGTAAATTCACAACTTGAATCTGACAGTTTAATTTGCCAAAATGCTTTGTTTGCATCTAAAATACTAAAGACCTTTGCATTTGTCATTTGAGATGAAATTTCTTCAAAGGTTGGTATGTGATAATGTTCTCTCAGTATATTTTGGTTAAGGTGCTGAGGATCTAAACACACTCTTAAATTTCCATCCTTTTTCCTTACTACCACTAATGAATTCACGAATTCTGTTGGTTGGTTAACTTTCTTTATAATACCATCTTTTTCCATTCTTGCTAATTCCTTTTTTAATGGATTTAATAAGCTAAGTGGAATTTTCCTACAGGGTTCTATTTTACCAACAGCTCCTGGTTTTAATTTAATATGATATGTATATCCAGTTAAATTCCCAGTTCCTTTAAACAAATCTTGATATCCTTTTAAAAGTTCTGGTAACTTTTCGTTAGAATCAGGATTTACTGTACAAATCCTTTGTATTAGGTTTAATTTTTGCAATGTAGGTAAACCTAATATAGCTGGAACAGTTTTATCACATGCTACAACTTGAAATTCTATTTCATCCTTGTCCCCTTTCGATGTTTCACATAATAATTTACATTTTCCAACTACATCAATTGTAGTACCATTGTAATTATTTAAAGTGACTTTTGATTTAGTCAAACATTTCTCTCTTAAATTTAATTGTTTAAATTTAGGCAATGGTAGCACATTACACTGAGCTCCAGTATCCAACTTAACAAATAAATATTTAGATATGTTTGTTTACTTTAGTTTTTCAAACCATTCGGTTTTATTTTTAGAAAATGGATTTATATCTTCTACTGACCCTAAAATATATTCATTACCATTATTATGTAACTCATGCTCTAAATTATTCTGTACAACATTAACATTTTTAAAAGTGCACATTTTAGAAAAGTGATTTTTCTTTTTACAGTACAAGCAAATCTTATTATAAGCAGGACAGTTGTATAACTTATGAAAAGTTCCACATTTTCTACATGGTTTTGGATTATTGTACTTATTTCCTTGATAGTTTGAAGAAGATTTAGTACTTTGTTGCTTTTGTTTTACATGAAAGTCTTTCTTACAAGGCTGACTTTTTTCCTCTGAAGGTCGAAATTTATTACGTTTGATAGCTTCTATTTTATTTTCTTCAGTTAAAGTTTTCAGCTGAAGTTCTGCTAATTCAGAAGCTTTACACATTTTAATACATTTCTCCAATGTTAAACTGATCTTCCCTTAATAATCTATCTTTGAGATTTTTATTTAGAATTCCACTTGCTATTCTATCCCTTATTAAACTATCTTTTAATTCTGCAAATCCACAGTTGCTACTTAATTTCTTTAAATCGGTTAAGAAATCATCAAACGATTCACCTACATGTTGTGTTCGACAGAAAAATATATGTCTATCAACACTTTCGTTTGCTTTCGGTATGCAAAAATGTTCGAAAGCTTCAATTACTTTGTCAACATCTTTCTTATCTTCTTCACTTAAATTAAAAGTATTAAATTTTTCAAGTGCTTCTTCACCAATTATATGCAATAAAATAGCTACTTTAATTTCAGGTGATTTAGTAATACCACCAGACGCTAACATATAAATTTGGAATTTTTGTTTCCATTTCTTCCAATTTTCGCTTAAATTTCCTTCGAAACTTAGATTACTTGGTGGCTTTAATCCATCCATATTTAATTTAGGACATTAAATAGTTTATATATACGTATTTTTAGCCACTTCCAATAAAAATAAACAACTCACTTACCAGCGATATAAGTTTCGATTTCACAGTAAACAACTTCCCATGATGTTTTTGTTTAGAACATCTTTACCGAGGCTGCATGGTTCTTGAAAAAAGATTTTCTTTTTTAATCAACCACGGGCTGCGCCATGTGTTGTATTTTATGTGTGTTGGGTACGTGCTAAGTGATGATTACAAGTTGTACACAAACATCGTTTATTATACATTACTCATCTACTATTCTATATTACAGTTATAGTTAAGATAATAATAGATACAGTTACAGTTACATATATAACAGGGGATATCTCCAAAGTCTTCATCTAGGTCGAAAATGATACCAACGGGATCTACACGAGCAATATAAGGTCTTAACTTATTTATGTGGAGTTCTCTTATACTTCTGTTTTCCGTTTCAATTTTGGCAGAGTGTGGCCTATAAGTTCGATTACAATAGCTAGTCCTTGCCAAGTATTAAGCAATTTATGCACTGAGGATGGCATTAACACAAAGACATTTGTCCCCCACATTGAAAGTCTTTTCTTTAGAACGTAAATTATTTCTTCAGGTGTATTCGTATTGTGATATTTTGGAGTTTGCTGATGCAATGTTACGAGCTTTTCTTAATTTTTCTAAAGGATCTTGTAAATAATTTCCAATTGAATGGAAAGCTGTGACTAGATTGCTACGCTCACCTGTCCAGATCTCTTTCAGCAAAGATAAAGGTCCTGGTGTTATTCTTCCGTACACCATCTGAAAGGGGGACAAACCTGTGGTGCTATGTAGGACTTCTCAGTAGGCAAACAGGAGATTGGGAAGATACAAATCCCAACTTCGTCCATGATCTTGGACATTTTGGTTCATCTCTTTTAAGGTTCTATTCCAAAGTTCAACAGCACCCATACTCTCTGGGTGTCCTGGTGTAGAGAATTGTAGAGATACACCAAAGAGGTCTTCAAAAGCTCGGGTGAGTTTGGCTGTGAAATTAGTTCCCTGGTCCGAACAAACATGTTGCGGCAAAGCCAGCGAACTATTACAAATAACATTACACTTTTTGTGAATGGCATCACTTACGTTTTTGTATTTATAAATGTCTTTTGCTTGTTCTATACTTCATGTTTATGTTAGGAAATAAATAAGTATAAAATACTATCTCCTAATATCTGGTGCCGAAAAAACCATTTACGAAACAGGACCTTGAACTTATACTTCCTACTGTTGGATTATTCTTGCTGAATTATTTTACTTCCGACATTAAAACTTAGTTTTGTTTTTGTTCTTTTCTACTACTCGGGCAATGGCGCCGACCGGTGAAGCTGTAGACAAAATGACGCAACTGAAACGAAAGCGGAAAGCCGTGCGAAGTAATGTTTCTCGCTTTTCTACTGAAATTGATACTTTGAACGATGATGATTTCTCAATTGAGAAAGTTGAATATATTTGTAATCGCTTAAAAACTACTTTAAATGATATGAAACTATTAGATAACAAAATTCACAACTTCCTTTCTGACGATGAATATGAAAGTGATAATTTGCAGTGTGAAAACTACATAGATACTGGTGAATACGCAATTTTCAAAGCACGAAAAATTATTCAAAATAAATTATCGCCAACTGCAAATAATATTACTGCTTCGAATATGGATACCAATGATTTAGCGATGACATTTGGCGACCCTCCTACTACAGTACCTGTGACTCAACCATATACAGTTAAATTGCCAACAATTAACTCTTTCGCATCGAGAGAGGGCAAAATCTCAATTCCCCAAACATTGAAAACGCCCGTATCTAAGCATTTCTCCTGGAATGCATTTCCTTCCCTCATGACAAGTTGAATACTACAGCGCTAACAATAGCCTTACTTAAGTAAAGCGAGAACTTCTTTCTTCTACGCTTTGACACTGTGTGAAGTTCCCCCTTGGGACGGGATTGCAACTTCGGGCATCAAAAGCTAAACACTGACAATAAACAAAGGAAATGAAGAAACAAAGGAAACGAGGAAGTTACTTTTAGTAGCTTCAAAAGAATGATTGACATGTGATTTAACAACACCTGAAAGCAATGAGTAATGCAGTAACGTGATGGGGGAAAGCACTGGGTAGGAAATTATTTAGGCGTTTAGGGCGTCCAGCCGATGTCTGAATGTTTGGGCGTTTGGGGCGACTTCGATGCGAAAGAGTTAAACTACGAGCATTTACAGGAGAAATTGAACAGTGGCAATGTTTTTGGGAACAGTTTAAATCTTCTATAGATGCCAATCCACATCTTTCTGTTGTTGATAAACATGTTTTCCTCAGAGGTTATTTAGATGGTGAAGCTAAACGCCTTGTTGATGGAATTAGTGTAATAGGAGACACCTATGAAACAACAAAATTGTTGGAGGAAAGATATGGAAATAAAGATCGAATTATCCAATCACACTTAGATTACTTAGAGCATTTAAATGTTTTTCAAGACCCATCTCCTACGCATCTAAATGATCTTTACATAGAATGTAACAGAAGAATTCAAGCTTTAACTGCTCTGGGTGAAAATATTGAAGCATACGGTAGAATCCTAGTGCCAAAAATTATTCGTGCATTCCCCAATGATATTTGTTGCCGCTGGATTATCTATGCCAAGCGTGAAAAACTAAACGAAGGTAATATTACTAGATTGATGCAGTTCTTGGCAGAAGAAGTGGAAAGGTGTAGTTGCAGCACAAAGAGTTAAAGGTACGTCTTTTTCTGATCACACCGTAAAGTGCACTGTAGAAAATTTTAATATCAATTCCAAAACAGTAAACAAACGTAAGAAAATTTCACCATTTTGTTCATTTTGTGATACTACAGGACATTGGCCTCAATATTGTGAAACTGTTACAGACTATGATACTCGTGTTCAGAAACTTAAAACTTCAAATCGCTGCTTTCTGTGTACTAACCGTGGTCATAGAGTTTCAAACTGCCCAAGAAAAAATACTGCACGATGCACTAAATGCAAGAAAAGGCATCATGTTTCTATTTGTCCTCCTGTTGAAAACAATCAACTGCGGATAACTAACAGTGCTGTAAATCACATAACCTTTCCTAAAACAATTTTCACACATTTGCAAACTGCTCGTGTGTATGTTACTGGCCCCACAGGCATTACTAAATTAACACGCTGCATTTTAGATGGTGGTAGCCAAGCAAGTTTTGTTCACACAAACCTCATTGAAAAACTTAAGCTTAAAGTTGTCAGTTCTGCCTCACTTTCAGTTCAAGCATTTGAATCTTTTACTTCACAAGAACAACGTAGATGTGTTCAACTGTCACTTTCAAGTTTGTGGAGCAACCAAGCATTTTTGATCTCCGCATTTGAAAGCTCCAATTCCTATACTACACATCCTACTGCTCCACCAGAAATAGTTCACTTTGCTCAGAAGAAAAGATTGAGAATTGCTGATCCACCGGATGACTCTTCACTGCCCATAGAAATACTTATTGGTGGTGATCATTATTGGCAAATTGTTTCCGCAGAAGCTCCAATCAAGCTTTCAGAATCTTTTGTTATGGTACCGTCAGTGTTTGGATGGGTTCTTAGTGGAACAAGAACAACGAACGAATACTACAATCGCTGAGAAGACTTCTGTCCATCAAGTTTGTGTGCAAGTTAAAACTGATTGTTTAAATGATCAGGTACGTCGCTTCTGGGAATTAGACTCCATAGGGATACAAGATGCGCAGAAACGAAAAAATGACTACTCGCGATGAAGAAATTTTATCAGAATTTCACAAAACTTACAACACTGAAGACAATCGAAGAATTGTGTCTCTGCCTAGAAAACCATTGGTCACACCTTTGCCTACAAACAAAATTATAGCGGAAAACAGATTTTCATTCTCTTCAAAAAAAGACTTGCATCTAGTGATGTGTTAAAGACACAATATGACAAATGCATGCTGAATTACATTGAACAAAAGCATGTTGAAGTGTTTGTTCCATAGATGAATCCAATGAGAAGCAGTATATTACCTTCCTCATCATGCTGTAAGAAAGAAAACGCAATCTGAAACCAAGTGGAGAATTGTGTTTGACGCTTCCTCGCATGCTCCAGGAATGATTTCACTGAACAATACCTTGGAAGCTGGCCCGAATCTTCTTCCTGAAACTATTGGTTGTCTACTAAGATTTCGATTGCATGAATTCGCTGTTACATGTGATGGTAAGCAAGCTTTCTTACAGTTGTCACTACATAAAGAAGATAGGGACGTCACAAAATTTTTCTGGTACAAATTAAAATCTGATTCATCTCAACCTACTACTTTTACAGATGAAATAACTGTTTACAGATTTACTCGTTTACCATTTGGCCTTACTTGCAGTCCGTTTTTACTCTGTGCTGCGACACGAGAATTGGCTGCAAAACATATCGCAGAATTTCCAATTGCTGCACCAATGATAGATAAACATCTCTATATGGATGACTTTCTTGCTAGTATGGAAACTGAATCACGCATTATAATGCTATATCACGAGATCAAGAATTTAATGGCTCTAATAAAATTGCCTATGGAAAAATGGGCTACAAACTCTTTGAAACTCAAAGATGTACTACAAACACATGAAGAATCTCACAAAACGGAAACAACTGTCTTAGGTATTGGCTGGAATACAAACTTCTGATACTTTGAAGCATGCATTCAAGACTTCCCTCTGTGTTTCTACAGACAAACCACTTACAAAGAGATGGTTACTCCGCTGCATTGCTAGTTTTTATGATCCCTTAGGCCTTTTTTCACCGTTTACTATTCTTGGGAAAATCTTATTCCAAGATACATGGATTCTTGGAATCAAGTGGGATGAATTACTACCTGCTAATTTATCAACTTTATGGTATGCAGCTGTGAAAGAACTTGATGACATTTGCTCCCTTCAAATTCCTCGATGCATAGGCATTTCATCACATGTTCCTTTTGCTATTCATGTGTTTTGTGACGCATCTGAACGTGCCTATGGTTCAGTTCTGTACATTGTTACCTTTAAAGGTGACCAATCGAATGTGAATTTAGTGTGTAGTCGCAACAAACTAGCTCCTATAAAGAAAAAGTTACCTTACCTCGTTTGGAGCTCTTGGCGGCCCTGATGGGAGCACGATTGTTGCAATATTTCTGTGCTGAAACAAACATCTGTTCGTCAAATGCAACATTGTGGAGTGATTCTCAAGTTGTCTTAGGGTGGATACGCAGTGACCCCAACAAATGGAAAACTTTTGTTAGCAACAGAGTAACAGAAATTATTTCCTATACCAATCCTTCACAATGGAGACATTGCCCTGGCAAAGACAATCCAGCTGACAAACTTTCTCGAGGTGTTTCACCATCAACACTAAAAAACCTGGAAATTTGGTGGAACGGCCCTCCATGGTTAGTCAAATCTCCTAGAATATTGGCCTCATTCTGATACTATTTCTAAAGATTACAGTCATAACTTCGAGGCAAAGAAAGAAAAAGTTCAGACCCTTCACATCGTATCTACTCAATCAATAAAGGCTGGAAACTACAGTTCTTACGTTCGATTGTTACGTGTAACATCTTGGATTCTTCGCTTTATTCACAACTGTAGGAAACAACAAAAGTTAGTGGGTGAGGTACATGCCACAGAACTAACTCGAACTCGTATTTATTGGACACAGCCGTTCAGAAAGAATCCTTTCCTTCAAAATATGAAGCTCTGTTGACAAAAAAATCACTCCCTAAGAAATCAAGGATAAAAAAATTTAACCCTTTTTTCAAGAACAACGTTAGACTTCTTGGTGGTTGACTACAAGTTTCTGATTTATCTCATGCTGAAAAACATCCCATATTATTGGAAGGTTCTCATCCATTTTACAAGCCTACTGATACGCCAAACACATTTACGAATGCATCATCTCGGTGTTCGGATTGTACTTTCTCAGCTTCGTTCAGAATATTGGATATTAAGAGCAAGGCAAGCCATTAAAAAGGTGATAAAGACTTGCCTTCCATGTAAAGTACTGAAACAAAAGAGAAGTGAACAGATAGAAGCTCCATTACCAGCTGAGCGAATTCAAAAGTCATCTCCTTTCGAAACTACCGGAATTGATTTTGCTGGACCACTCTACGTAAAAAATAATAACTCCATTACAAAAGCTTACATTGTCATCTTCACATGTGCTACAACTCGAGCTATCCACTTAGAATTAGTTTCCGATCTGCGTACTGACGTCTTCCTACTTGCATTACAACGTTTTGTCTCTAGACGTTCACTTCCTCATACAGTGTACACTGATAATGCCACAACGTTCTGCGCTGCGGACAAAGAGCTGAAATTATTGTGGGATACTATATCCTCTGCCAAAGCACAACAGTTTTATGCGCACCATAACATCAAATGGAAATTCATCGCCCCCCGAGCGGCTTGGTGGGGAGGATGGTGGGAAAGAATGATAAGCTCAATTAAGCGATGCCTTCGGAAAACATTAGGTAAGGCTCTTTTGGATGACGCTGGTTTGATCACTGTATTATGTGATATTGAAGCCGCTCTTAACAGTAGACCGATTGTCCACGAATACGGAATAAAAGATGACTCCGAGGAAGCTTTAACACCCTCGCACTTCCTCATAGGAAAGAAATTAACTACTGTTACTTCCAGCCCCACAAATCTTGAAACAAATTTAAATCGTATGTGGAAGAATCTTCAACATTTGATGGACTCCTTTTGGAAAAGATGGCAAAAGGAATATTTGACGGACTTGCGTATATTTCATCAAGTGCGGAATCCATCTGAAACAAATAAAATACGGAAAGGGGACATTGTCTTACTACAAGAAGATGTTAGACCTCGCCACACCTGGAAAAAGGACCGTGTTGAGGAGCTAATCCTTGGCCGCGACAAGAAAGTCCGTACTTGTGTTCTGCGCACCAATGGACATACCATTACCCTACCTGTGCAGCTGGTCATTCCCCTGGAGGTTGACCAGGGTGGGGAGGATGTTGCGGCAAAGCCAGCGAAATATTAAAAATAACATTACACTTTTTGTGAATGGCATCACTTACGTTTTGTATTTATAAATGTCTTTTGCTTGTTCTATACTTCATGTTTATGTTAGGAAATAAATAAGTATAAAATACTATCTCCTAATCAAACAATCTTTAGAAATCCAATTTGAGAAAAAATCCCCATCAAAACGTTGCATGTTGTTTTCGCACTTATCTCTCTGATGTAAGTAGCTTCTGCCCACCATCTGGTGCTTAGGTCAACTGCACATATCACAAACCGATGACCTCTTCCGGATGCAGTATCTAATGGTTCGATACAATCCACGCTCCATACTTGAAAGGGTGTTTCTGGTATAATGTTAGGTTGAATTGGGATTCTATCTTTATATGTAATTGTCCTTCTTAATTAGCATTCTTTACAACTTTCGTAGAACTTTTTAACGTCTTTCTTAATAGTCTGCAAAAAAAAAAAAGAGTACTTAATTCGTTAAATTGTCTTTTTCTCACAGAGGTATCCAGCAAGAGGGATTTCGTGTGCCATTCTCAGAACTTCCTTTCTAAAGGCAACACAATTTACTTAATGTTTTCACCACATATATAATGCTTAATGTTTTCACCACAGATTCAGAGTGAAGTAATACACCATTATCAAAAAGCATATGAATTTTCATCGTTATCTCCCATTCAAAACGCTTTTTCGAAGTCTCATCTTGTTCTTGAAGTGCTCTAAATTCTAGTCTTATTTTGTTTGTTGTTTTCGCAGTTTCTGCGAAATTTTGTCTGTTTCTTCACACTCTAAGGAAGATGCATTCCATTGATGATCACTGTGACACAGTACAATATTTCCGCAGAGCATAAGAGGAAGAACTCAGTAACAAGTCGGCAATTAGTGTTTTTTGAAACAGCACAGGTAAAGGGCACTCTACCATAAAAATCATCGTCCATTTTGATCCGGAAATTTTTCAGTAGCGTAATTTCGTTCTCCCCAAAAGTAGAAAGATATCTCTATTTTACTTTCTCCTTCGCAAGGTATGTCGTCAACCAGTCTTTCACGGACTACAGAAATTTGTGCTCCCATGTCCACGATTCCATTTAGAACTTTGACTAGTTTCAGACATTTCTGTTGCTAGATACGTTCACGGATTTTGAGACGGGAATAAAGATCTTAGTAGTTAGCACATCTGGTTTTTCCTTTTCTGTAAAGGCTGTTTGTGTTTGTATTAAGTTGTTTTGTGCTGTTGCAAGAGTATTTTTGGTATCCGATTTTTGGTGCAAAATTCTCTCCTACAATTACAGCAAGTTAGTTTGGAAATTGGCTTTTATGGCTCGTCATTCTTTTGGGAAGTGTTTACTCTTGGCGTGTGTCAAAGCTTACAAGAAAAAAGTATCACCGAATTTTTCAGCTTTCAGTACATAAAATTATAAATCCCACTTCAGCACAAAGTAGCCTTTAGTTAAAGACTCGCATCATAGATTTTAAAATAGTCCCTATCATTAAAACACTATAACTGCGGTGATTGTTCACAAAATAGAATCAGTTTCAACGAAAACAATCTTTTTAATATCATGAAAAAAAAAATCAATAATGCTGATAGCGTCATTATCGTTCCAACTTGAATATCTATTACTGTTGCCATACACAAATTACTAAACTATACTAACAAAATCTGAGTGAGGTTTGCTCATGAGCCAGGAAATATAGAACACAAATAATAAACATTAAAATAAGTAATGTATTATTAACATCTTCCCACCTTTTGATTATAAACTATAATGAAAACATAAAATTACCACTTTAAGTCTTTTAAGTTAGTAATAAAATATATATGTATATCCTATACTAATCCAATAAACCACATAAATACTCAAGTATAAGAAATAATAACAACAACCAATAAAAATGTATTTCACTAAAGCACTTATTTAAATTATAACTCAACTAAATTTTTCTGGAATCTTAATTTTTCTACCGGTCTTACTAAATTTTGGATTGTTGTCAAACACACCATTATCCTGTTTCACAATCTGCTTTTATAACTTGGTCAAACTATTGGATTTCACAGGCTTAGGACAGTCAGTAGGTGATGCTATCTCAAGAGGATATATTCTCTGAATAGGACGAAGAAATTCTTGATGTAAAATCTTCACTGTTACAAGCTGCACATTACCGTCTTTCCCTGGAACAGGCTCAGAACAATATCACCCACAGCCACTGGGTATTTTAGTTTTTTTTATTGCTCCCTCGTTGAGTGACAGTGTAAGGATCTTAAGTTTTACTAACGTTTATTTTATTTTAAATCTTTAATATCACTTCTGATTTTCTATTTCCGGCCAGAATTAAAAGCTTTAACTTATTTATGCAAATTTGTTGGCGAACGCCAATTACTTAAGTTGTGGCTTTTTGCCAAGCGAGAGAGAGGAAGGAGTTAGTAGAAGCAGGCCGCTTGCCAAGAACCTGACTCAGAACAGGGAGCTTACTAAAGCTATGTTCAATAAATGTGGGAAGTAGACAAGATACACAGGAAGGGTATACGAAACCCTTTGTTTTTCACTCGGTAAAAGTTTTTACTCGGTTGCTGGTTGCCTTCCAGGCCAGAGGTTTAATCCTCTTGATAATTTTAAACGTATTGTAGTGTTAACAGTGCTCTGTACTACATACGGCTTCCTGTTAATATATGGCCAATCTTCCACGCAGGCCCTTGTTTATTATTCCAAAGTTAAGTTAGAGTTTAGTTAATATTTTTATATTCTTACGTTCAGACCACAAGTGGTTGATCTCTGTATTCCGAAGTCCGGAAATTATTGTAAAGAGTGAAAAATAAAGGGTTTCGTATACCCTTCCTGTGTATCTTGTCTACTTCCCACATTTATTGAACATAGCTTTAGTAAGCTCCCTGTTCTGAGTCAGGTTCTTGAATGTTCCCCAAGCAAGTAAGGAGAAACACTGAACCTGATAACAGTACCTAAGTATTCCGACCGAAATCGGTTCTCCAATTCTTTAAGTATGATTTGTCTATATTTGAGTCTTTTAGATAAGGGATTTTTTCCACAGCATCAATATCTGGAACACTGCATTCATGAGTGTCTGGAAGAAACATCGATGGAGAAATGGGCTTTACACATCTCGTTCGGAGATGTGATAAAGAAGTCAGAGGTCTTGAGTTGATTACGCTTTCACAGTCCAGAGTAGTTGCCATCTCCTCATAATTTAGATGAGATTTTCCTAACACTCTTTTTAAGAGATCTTTCAATATTCTCATTAGTCGCTTCACCAACCGTCCCACCATGCGAAAGTCGGTGGGTTAAATTTCCAGGCAATCGAATTGAGGACTCCATGTTTCTGTATACGGTTCCAATCTAGTTGTTTTAATGAATTGGCTGCTCCGACAAAATTGGCATACAATAGTACATCTTCATCTACGAGCTATAAATCTTCTACATGCCATTAAAAAGGAGTCTGTGGAAGCGGCAGTAATTAGCTGCTCTGTACACTGCGCAAGTGAATATTAACACCCAATTCTTTGTATTTTCTTTTATAAACTCCTGTAACTTCTGTAATTTGAAACTCCTGTAATTCTGAGTCAGCTCCTGTAATTTGAAATGTCGCAGCATCTTCTACACGATTTTCAAGAAGAGGAGCAACATATCGCTTCCATGTTCCTTGAACTATATCTTTTATAGATCGTGCAATTAGCCACAATATTTTTCCCACTCTTTCTTCCGTTAAGAATCCAATATTTTTCTTTAAATAGATTCAAAAGTATCTGACCACCTGCGTGACAATTCTTCACATGAACAGAAAAAATAAGTCGTTTCACAACTTCGTGTTCTGAAGAAAGGACGACAGGTTTCAGAAAATCTTCACTAACCTTCCTGTAAATAATCTTTACAGGATAGATGCCATGATCATCTTTAAATACCTGAAGTGTTTTGAGTCTATCATGTTGCAAATCAAAGGATTTCTTTTTGAATCATACGCAATATCTTTAACTCCGCTTCGTGAAATTCTATTGCATTCAGTTCTCTGTATCTCCTGCTGTCAGTATTTGTACAATTATGATTAAAACGAAAAATCCAGGCGATCATACGTACGATTTCCTCATAATAAGAAAAATGCCTGTATTACCAATTTATTATCACAAACGGGTTCATTATTTGTCATCGTGCTAGTCGTCTTCAACTTTTCCCTTTCAATCTCTTCTTCATTCCAGCTATGGTGGTTACAGGAATCCATGTAATTAAGGAATTCTTTAGGATCTTTCATCCAGTGATGTCCCTCCCACCATCTTCGTGTAATTAGATATTTCGCTTTGCAACCTCTGGGTGGCAGACGGGCAGGATTCTCTTCTCCAGGAACGTGCTTCCAAGCTGAAGGTTTACTGAGTTCTCTGATTTCCTTAACACGGTTTCGCACGAAAACAGACCAGTTTTCAGCTCTTTTAATACATGCGAGCACTGTTGTGGAATCACTCCAATAATATTTGTTAACTCTTTCCCATCCGAGAGCTTTGGTTACTGAATAAGTCAAACTAGCACCAATTACGGCTGCCAAAAGTTCCATTCTTGGGATAGTTGCCCCTCTTAAGGGACCAACTCGAGATTTTGCAGCAAGAAGAAACAGTTCAACTCGATCATTGTTCTCAATCCTTAGAAATGTAATCGCTGCATAAGCGTCTCTGCTGCTATCAACAAAAGTGTGAAGAACACAATTATTTAAATTTTCTGAAGTGACTTCAATAAATCTGGAAATTTCAATCTCACTTAAGCATTTTAATTCATAGTTAGAAGGTTACTTTAATTTCATATTCCTTTTAGACCACACACTTCTATCACAACAAATTTTTTATTTTCTAACATCAGGTAAGAAATTTATATCCTTTTTTAGATCAAAATGAATTTCTTAGAGTTGGAGGTGATTACAAAATTCTCAATTGAGTAGGGATTCAAAACACCCAAATCTATTACCGGCTAGGCATAGGTTCACTGAAATTATTATGGAATATTGTCATAAGAAAAACTT